TGGGAGTCTGGCTTGGTGCTCCAAGCACACTGAGCCAGTTGAGGCTGCCCCGGCGTCTCCTGTTGGCTCTCACCTGGGTTCGCATGCTTGGTCTCCCCCAGCCCGCTCTCCCTCCCAGATCTCAGCTCAAACACCAGCTCCTCAGTGAAGCATCCCCTCATGTCCCCTGGTCAACAAAAAGTCTCCTTTCTTGTGTTATATGCATGGGTCTGCAAGCTCTTATCTGCAATTCTTAAATCTCAAGTTGTCGAAAACAGAAACTATCCCTTTTTGGTACTAAAATTCACTCTGTGCAAATCCGGCCTGAACTGGAGCACAGCTATTGTCTGTCTGTATCTCACTTTAGTCCTTTTGTTTTGATGCAAAAAGATGGTTGCTCATGGGTGATATCCCAGACCCTTCTTAGAACACAACCTCACGTCGCCAAGTGTTTTGACAAAAAGATTGTGGGCCTGGTCTCCCTTGCTTCCGTTGCCCGGAGAATGCCTGTACTTTGTTATGAGTCTGTGCTCCCCTGGAGTCTGCACTTCCATCTTTACTGACCACAGGCCTCAGTATGTTGCACCCTTAAGCGTGAAGAATCTCAGAGGACACCCTGTTACTTGCAGACGTCCACTAAGGGTTTCCTCACTTGTGTGTGTCACGAGCAATCACTGCTCGGGGGAGGACAATGGGCAGGACAGCAGGGGCTGGCTTTGACCTGGGGGGGTGCCAGGGCTGGGCCAGGTGGATGTAACAGTGCTGTGCCTGGGTCATGGGTGGAGATGAGCGGGCAGGAGGATTTGGCAGCAGATGGAAGGGTGGGCTGGTGAAGATGGGGACAGGATACTGCCTGTGCTCCACCCAGACAGCACCACGCGAGTCCTCTGGACACAGTGGGGACAAGAGACCTCAATTTGTGCCTAAGAACTTTCTGTGAGAAGATGAGATAGGCAGGGTCCTTGTAGAAAATTTAAAAACTCACTTCCTGCACATTTTATTTCATGAATGAGAAGTCACTTTGGCTGATTAAATTAATGAAAGAGGGCCCCCTTTGTTTCTAATCCCCAAAGTTTTATCCCCTACTTATTAGGAATTGGTTTATTTTTAGTCATTATATTACCAGCCAAGGTGCCAGGGCAGTTCCTGACTTATTCAGAGCCAGGTATGAGCTGGTAAAGCCAAGCATCTGGGAAAGGAGAGATTGTTAGGCCCAATGTGATATGGGACCATAATTCTGTGTGTGGGAAGGAAAAGCCTTCAAAGAACTTGGTTAAAGTTGATATCAATGGACGTGTCTCTAGAATATTCTGGGAGAGTGCCAGGTAGCAAGCAAAGCAAAGCAAATTCCTTCCATTCAAGGTCATGGGGTTTGGGAGATGCAGGACAATCATTTTATCCCCCTTATTAGGAATTGGTTTATTTTTAGTCATTATATTACCAGCCAAGGTGCCAGGGCAGTTCCTGACTTATTCAGAGCCAGGTATGAGCTGGTAAAGCCAAGCATCTGGGAAAGGAGAGATTGTTAGGCCCAATGTGATATGGGACCATAATTCTGTGTGTGGGAAGGAAAAGCCTTCAAAGAACTTGGTTAAAGTTGATATCAATGGACGTGTCTCTAGAATATTCTGGGAGAGTGCCAGGTAGCAAGCAAAGCAAAGCAAATTCCTTCCATTCAAGGTCATGGGGTTTGGGAGATGCAGGACAATCAATGGCCCATTAGGTGGCACTGCTGATTCACACTTGTGGTACCCAGAGGCTGTCTCTATGGTAACAAGTTTACAAATTTATGGGGAGACTTGGCCTCGTCCGATGGGTGTGTGTGTGTGTGTGTGTGTGTGTGTGTAAGGAGTGTTCAGAGAGGTCTGCCTTGTACAGCCTGGACTGTTGATTTGCATCTGTCTGGAGAGAGACAATCAAGGCAACGTTATGATACGGAGCAAGGCGATAAGGAGCAGGAGAGCAGAGAAGTCACTGCTCCTAAGCCAGTACACACGGCGTCACCTGGTGTTCAGACACTCGTGTCCTCTAATGCATGGGGCGAGGAAGCCGGGAGCCCGGGGAGGGTCTGCAGCCCCATGCGCCGTGTGCACCGCAAGGCCTCGGCCTGGGAGAGCTGGGGTTGCTTGAACTGCGGGTGTTTTAGGGGTGTAGTGCTGGAAAATATGAAATACGTGCTACTGTACAGCATCGACGTCGCTCTCTGTATAAAATGACTGCAGATGAGGTTCTGCAGCCTCACTGCCAGATCGAAAGCTCAGTCCCTTGCTCTCTCTTGCTCGTGATCCCCCTGCAGAGCCCTCCGTTTTCCCACACTGCTGCCCCAGCGCAGGTGGAGGTGGTTCCTACACCCGCTGGAGTCTCTGGGCGTCTTGCTGTGCTGCTAGTGAGGAAATGGCCCTTTGGGGTGAACTCACCCTCACCGAAACCAGTTTTTCGGCTACAAAGGAGCCTTTTAGAGATGTGCCAACTGGGAACCCCCGGTTCCAGGCCAGAATCAGCCCAGCCTCTGCAGGTGAACAGGTTACACCTGGGCAGGGCTTGTTTCAATTTAAAATGTACCTTCTCTGCTTTTCAGGAGTTCTGGCGTGGAGTCATTTTTTAATTATAGTTTTCATGGAGAAGAGAAAAGAGGAAAGAACAAAAAACTGACCTGAGCAATATTTTTGCAGAGCTTTGTAACAATATGCTCATTACTCAAGGTCCACCTGGACAGATGTTTTATAAATATCGGCTGGATAGTGGATACTGTCTAGAATATTTCAGAAATCGAAAATATTTTGAACTAACTTCAGAAAAATTGCATAGTACAATGTATTGCCATGTGTCCTTCACCCCTTGCCCCCAAATTTACTCCTGAAACCATGAGATAGATATTTTTCAAATATATCTGATAGTAAATTACAGATATGATGTGTTGATCTTTAAATATTTCAGAATTTCCAAAGAAAGAGAGAAAATTATCTCACACAACCATGATTATTCCTTGAATGGTCAGTAGGGCTGATGATGAAAATATGCACAAATCCAGACATAATTGGATTCAGCTCCCAAACCTACTAGGTAGGCCATAATGGTATGAGCTGGGGAATCCTGCTTCAGACAGCAGTTTTCATAGTAAAATATAGGGAGGTAAATCTTTCTCAAGGGGAAGGGGATCAAGAGACAGAGGAGGAGAAGTGGAGGGGAGAAGGGATGAAAAAGGAATTAAGATGTGCTATGCGTATGCACCAATCCCCCACAAGGAATGCAAACATTACTATGAACACATACTTACGAAAGGACATGGCAAGCCGGGCACGGTGGCCCACATCTGTAATCCCAGCACTTGGGAGGCTGAGGCAGGAGAATCACCATGAGTTCGAGGCCAGGCTGGGCTGCATAGTGAGTTCAGCGCCGGCCTGAACTACAAAGTGTGACCCTTGTCTGAAAAAGCCAAAAAAAAAAAAAAAAAAAAAAAAAAAAGGGCCAGGGATTGAGCTCAGTGGTTCCACTGACTGTGTCACAAGCGCAAAGTCCTGAGTTTGATCCCCAGTACCAAAAAAAGCAAAAAATGTAGATCACAAAATGTATTAAGATAAGTAAGATACTACACAAAAAATACATACCCACCTACGGCCTGGCCAATAAAGCTTTTTCCCACTTATAGGGGGAATTCGTTCATTCAAAAGACCCAAAATATTCCCATTTTCTTAGACTTACACTACAGAGTGGCTTAAATAAACTTTTAAAGTCTGTTCATGACTTCAACTGTTTTTAAACATTGCAAACACCTAAGAGGTTTCTTTAGATTTCTAGAAAAATTAAAGTATTTTGAGATACTTGTTGGTTTGCTTATGTCCCGTTTTGCAATATTCCCCCAGTGGTAACGTTTTGCAAAACTATACCACATCATATGACAGTACCACAGTCAGTGCACAAACATCCATAGTCAGGATACAGACCTTCTCCACCTCCAGGAAAATCTTTCCGGTTGGTCTTTTATAGCCACACCTACTACTTTCTCTCCTCAACCTCCCTGATCCCAGGTAACCACCAATCTGTTCTCTGTTTCTATAATCTTGTCATTTTGAAAGTGTTGTCTCAGTGCAGTTACATAGAATGTAAGCTTTTGGGATAGCATTTTCCATGCAACGCACTTCTACAGAGACTCATATGGTTTATCCCATTTATTTATTTAGATACCGGGGCTAGAACTCAGGACCTTGAATTTTCGAGACAGGCGCTGGAACCATTGAGCTAAATCCCCGCCCCCGCAACTTACTTTCTTTCTTTTGTTTTTGTTTTTTGAGACAGGGTCTCATTATGTAGTTGAGACTGACCTGGAACTCACTATGTAGCCCAGGCTGGTCTTGAACGCACAGCGATCCTCCTGCCTCAGCCTCCCGAATGCTGGGATTACAGGCCTGCGCCACCACACCCGCAACTTTCTTTTAAAAGGCAGTCTTGTAGAAAAAGGAGAGATGCCTTTATATTTGGCTGTCAAGGAAAGCTTGCTCCCCTCCCTGATCTGGGTTAAGAACTGGGCTTCTTCTCCTGGAGCCATTTACCTTCCAACACTGCAGAGGCAGCACGGGAGACGTAAGCGGGAGAGCGGGCAGTGGCTGGGAGCTGCTTTCCACTGAAACTGCCCCGAGCATCTTAGGATGCTCCGAGTTGATCCGCGTGGAAGGTAATTTAACTCGAGATAGCCACGCATTCAAACCTCAGGTATATTTAAGCTGCACTTTTTTTTCCTCATTAGAATTCTGAGAGGTGTAATTTATTTTCCCTACCGGTATTCACTCCGGGATGTTAATTCTGACACCGGCTGCTCCAACCTGGGAAGAATTTGAGAGGCTGCCCGGCTTTGCCACTATTTCAATTAGTGACTCTGGGAAACCGTCCATATTTCTGATCATCATTTTTTCTTATTTGTAAGAATGAAGGTAACCGTAGCCACCACTTCTCAGGTGAGGTGGAACATGGGTGACAGGCGTGTCCCCGCGTCCCTCGAGCGTCCCCTGACCGGCTGCCGCACAGCCTCCTTTCAGCTAAGCACGCTCCCCGCTCCTCTCGCTAGGGGGCGGTATCGCCTAACTGCTGACTCCCGCAGGCCTCGCCGGCTGAGGCCGGACCTAGCGCCTAGCGCGAGCCTTCAACCAAGACCATCGCATCTCTGCTGCCGCTACAGCGGTGCCAGCTCTGTCCTTCTTCGCCCTCTCTTGCAACCCCAGGTCAGACACGCCTTCCTCTGTCCGAGCCCGGAGATCTTTCTCAGGGAAGTTCTTGGCTTCTGAAAATCTTGCTTGACATTTGGGGCGTTCTAATTTTCTTTTCCTTCTTTCTCCTCCTCCTCCTCCTCCTCCTCCTCCTCTCCCCCCCCTTCTTCTTTGATTTGTTTTTTCTTTTTATCATAATTGGTCTTTCTACGTAGATTTAAGTTTGTAGGAAAAGGAATACGTTTTGATCTTTCCTTCCCCGACAGTAGTGAGCTCAGAGCAGAGGAGGCTCACGGAACCCAGGGTGGGCTCGCTGACTGGGTGAGTGGGCGCTGCTGTGGGTATACAAGGCCCGGGGGCTGCTGTGCCCAGACATTTCTGGAGACACCCACACCCCCCCAGACCCGTGGTAGGACTGTATCCCCAAGGCTTCTGTGGCCCTGCCCCACCGCTCCCAGCTCGATTCCTTACCCATCCGGTAGAGATCGTGGCAGTTAACGTTTGCCCCCATTGCCCACGATGTTTGAGAATTCCCTAGGTTCCCTGTAACCTCTTCTGTAGCTGGAACAGTGAAACTAGCAGGAGCACGTAGACACTGGAGGCCTCCTGGAGTCCCTTCGCGAGACTTCTTGTCCTAGAGAGGACCAGGCGACGGGGTCACAGCTGCGAGCACGGCGGACTCAGACGGGCCCACCGTGGATTTTCCGTCCCAGCGGTGCCTGACGTCCTAAGGGCCCACGCAGCTGTGATCGAAGACTGGCGGAGCGGGGGTGTGGGCAGCGCAGTGCCCCCCAGCCTCGGTGCTTTTGGTCATGGCTGCTTGTGCGCATCGTCTTGGGAATTTCAGACCCCGTTAGGGGCAGTGGCGTCCAGGACAGATGAAAGAGAGGCCGGCCCCAGACACAGAGTCTATGCCCGGAGGAGCTGGGAGTAGGGTGTGGATTTCCAGATCCCTTCTGTACTCCTTCTTCTAAGTTTCTCCGCCTGTTCAGAAATGTCGCTTCCCTGCAGGGCAGAGGGCAGACTGAGTGCTGTGAGTGCCCTGTGACCTTGCCTTGTCCCCGTGACCCTGTCCCTCACCTCCGTCTCGTCTCTGCCTGGCTTCCGGGCCGGCTTCAGACAGGGGAGCGATGGATCAGCTACCCCTGGGCACCTGGCGCAGACTCACAGCCTCCCTCTCAGCATACACCTTGCGTTACCTCCTGCCACAGGACGTGCGGCCAGAGCGGGCCCTCGTGGCCGCGAGGTCACCGTGGTGCGCATGTCCGTGCACGGAGGAGCTCTCCTCTCCAGGTGCGTGGACCTGTGCTTGGAGCTCAGGGCTCAGAGTCGCTGCCTGGTGAAGCTTGCGGAGGCCTCCTTGAGAGGCCCCTGGCAGGCTGCAGGCCCAGGAAGAGGAGATCCCAGCCCGGACAGAGCTGTGTCTGCAGCTCTGCCCCTTCATAGGGCTCCCTCGGATCCTTCTTTCTGGCCCACTCACCTTTTAGGTGAATGACTGTTCTAGCTACTTTCCTGTTACTGGGACAAAACACCTAACACCCACAATTTAAAGGAGCAGAGATTAGTTTTGGCTCCAGCACAGAAACAAAATAGTGGAAGGGCCTGGGCAGAGGACAGCTGCTGAGCTCTGGGTGAGAGGAAGCAGAGAGAGAGAGAGAGAGAGAGAGAGAGAGGAGCTGGGGACAAGAACACCCCCTTCCACATCACACTCCCAGTGACCGTGGCCCACCAGGCCCCACCTCCTGGCAGCACATAAACCATGAACTCATCAGTGGACTAAGCCACCCAGGATCCAGTCTCTGTCCATACATGTGAGACTTTGGGGACATTTTGATCTAAGCCATAGGAACACTCAGCTGAGAGTGTAAACATTTCCCCTCATGGGAAAAGAAAGACATTCGCTTTATTAACAGCATAAATCCAAGGGCAATTTCATCTTCAGAGTTGACTCCCCAACATCAAAGGCCTGAGTGTTCATAAAAGTGCTCTCAAGAAGAGTCCCTCAGCCACGGGCGGACACCGTCCTTTAACGTGCTCACAAGTGGGAGTTGTGGCTTTAGACGGAGTGGTGTCAGCTGGAACCTAAGCGAATTCAGCCAAGTGCAAAACTCACACCCAAGGATGGCAGGTGAAAGCTCATTTATTCCTTTGTGGTACTGAGGATTGAACCAAGGGAGCACTGAGCTATAACCCCAGCTTTTTATCTTTATTTTTTGGTACCAGGTATTGAATTTGGGTCCTTGCTCTTGCGAGGCAGGCGGTGGGCACCACTGAGCTAAATCCGCCCCCCTTTAAAAAATTTTTATTTATTAATTTTAAAACAAGATCTGTTCAGTTGCCCAGGCTGCGCTCAACTTGTGATCTTCCTGCTTCAGTCTCCCAAGTAGCTGAGATCACAAGCCCCTGGCTGCAAGTTAGTTTACTAGTCCAGTTTTACTCTGGACCGGAGCAGCCTTCCAGTGTTCTTCGTGCTAACTGGAAGCGTCTCAGCCCTCTTGCGGGCAGGAGTGGAAGAAGCCACGGGTTCAAAGTCCTTGGAGGCTGAAGAGTTGTGCAGATCATGAGTCGCGAGCTTTCCATGTTGAGTGGAGGTGAATCCCGGATGTGGCTTCAAGAGGCGGAACCCTACCGTGGGAAACAGGCAGATAGCTGAAATTAAGCAGGCGTCTTGGAGGGGCGGAAAAAAAGCCAAGCTCTGGGTCTCAGGAGAGGAGGCGATTCTGATTGAGTAGATTAAGGCTCAGGCGTGGGTTTTGAATGTTTTCAAAGCTGCCTCAGACATTTCTGACGATAATTCTGGGCTGGGAACTACTGGTTTGGGTGACGTTTGCGCTATTTAGCTAGTGCTCACATTTTCCAAAGTGTCTGCTAAATATTGAACTGGTGGTTTCCATTCCTGGCTGCACATTATGGTCACTGGGGGAGTTTTAAAAAATACTGTTACCTGGGTCCTATCCCAGGCCAATTAAACCAGAGTCTCTGGGGTCGGGGGTTTTAGCACTAATATTTTTAAAAGCTCCCCAGTTGAACCTAATGTGCAACTGGGGTGGAGAACCTTAACGTTAAACCTTAAAAGAACAAATAAAATTTACTCCTGAGCTGTGTTTGGAGGCTGCCTTGGATTATTGTCTGTGTTTTTCATTTTCTGCAGGGCTAATTTGTTATTAAAAATGTAAATTATCCTATGTGGGCTGATGTGTATAAATTGCATCACGTCTGTCTTTGATTGGAACACCAGGCTTCCATAATTGTGGTGAAGACAGAGCCGGCTTTTTATTTCCTCCTTTCTTTTTGGCAGCTGTACCAATCTGCTGGTTCATTAGGCTCACAGAAGAACAGAACTTCAGATCATTTTTTGTGATGTTGAAGTCGTCTCTGTTAGCAGGTATTTCTGCTGGTGATCATTTTGATTATTGTGTCCAGGGATGGAATGGATCCAGATCCTGGAGAGGTACTGGGGTGAATAACAAAAAGTGGCCATCCTATTGGGTTAGGGACACACACTTGGAGCTGTCATCTTACAGAGATGGGGCAATGGTTGCTGGGTGAGCAAAACCAGTGTTACCCTTAGACCTGGGCAAGACAGGTCCATTCTCAGGTCTGTGTTTAGTCATGCCTGTCTCCTTGGAGTAGGGCCGAGGAGCCTGCCCAGCCATGCCTGTCTTTCCCTGGGCCCAACTCCTGGAGGCAGACTGTACCCCAGGGTGCGTGCCTTAGGCTGTGGGAGTGACCAAGGGGTGACTATGGGGGAAGGCACAGATGGAGCTTGGGTGTGTGGACTGAGATGCCCACATGCGTGCATGTGAGAGCCTTTGCAGAGCAAGGTGGAGCTGGCATAAGGGTGGAGGTGGGCTGGTGCTGATGGACACAAGGACTGACATGCGGGGACTGAGTGTCAGCTCTCCTCACGTTCCAGTCATGAACTAATGTTTAGGGCTGAGCTGAGTAGCTCACTTGCCTACCGTGCACAACGCCCTGGGTTCCATCCCCAGCACTGCCAAACAGAAACACAGACCCAAACAGAAACCAAAACAGCTAATGAGTCTGAGAATTTGAAAATCAAACGGGCCTTCCAGATTACTGTGAAAGTGTGTTTGTTAAGGTAGGAAAGTAAAATAAGTTAATTGATAGTTTGTTGTCTTGATTCTGGCTTTTAAATATTTAGGGAAGTGGTAAATGGGTTTCTCTTTGGGTTCTTGACCCAGACACCACTTATTAGGGAATGGCTTGGGCAAATCAGCATGTGTCTTAGTCAGATTGTAGCAGAATACCATTGATGAGTGACACAGACAAATGTTTATTTTCCACAGTCTGGAAAATCCAAAATCAAGGTGCTAGCAGATCTGGTGTCTGCTGAGGGCTCACTTCCTGGTTTGCAGATGGCCACTTTCTGTTTGTAGGAGGAGAGAGGGAGGAAGACAGAGAGGGGAAGGGGGAGGGGGAGGAAGAGAATTCTCGCTCACCTCTTTTATAAGAATACTTATTCCATTCCTGGGAAATTCACCATCATGACTTCATCACTTCCCAAAGGCTCCACCTGCTAGCAATGTTCCATTTCAACAGATGAATTTTGAGTGGTCACAAATGGAAAGAAATCCAAAATGAGCTCAAGGAGAGGGCGTCTTGAGCCGGAGGTCAGTCTAAAGATCAAGGTAGAGGCAAGGAATCATGCAGATGGTAGTTAAGTTCGTGGGTGACTTCAGGCAAGCTGCCATCTCTCCGTTTATTAAACACTTCCTGGAAAGACCCTTGGCAACAAATCCTGCCAGCAACCTACCATTTCCTAAGATTCTTGATTGACTGGACTACAATGGCCCGCAGAGTTGGCCAAATGTTTCCTTCCAACTCCTGCCTCCTCCCTCACTCTCTTCAGAGTAATAGCCTTAGCCAGACTTTAACCCTGACCTTCCCCTTGGCTGGCTTGACTTTCTGTTGGGAGAGGACATGGTTGAATGCTATGTATTTGGAATGGAAAGAAAGATCTCTCAACATGAATCACGTTTGTCAATGAAATTGTTTCTTTTGGTTTATTTCTAGTTAAGACTGAATCGAGAATCACTTCTCTTCCTTAATGAATTCTAACAAAGGACTTAAAGTGTAGAAAACCAGAACAAAGTACAAAGAGCAGGGATCCTAGAAAGGTAGTTTTGTTTTGAAGAGATATTTCCACGAAGGAGGTTGATCTGCAGAGGATATCTTAAGACAGAGAATCATCAGAAGAGAGCTGCGTGGACGGGGTTTGTATGAACAGGGTTTGAAAGGAAAAGTCCCCTCGCCAACCAACCCAAGTGGATCTGAGTAGGTCTGTGGGTGAAAGCAGCTGTCTGCTGGTGGGTAAGAATCTCAGGAACAAATGACAAGGAAATTTACCCGATATGTCAGCATTGGGGTGATTGTTATTTACATGTGGAATCCTCCCAGCAAGTGGGAAGTGGGGCTGGACTTAGAGAAGTCTTAAGAGCAGATCAGATCCTTGCTGTTGTCACCAGGGCTATTACTGAGGTTGGCCAAATCCTGTCCCCACAGACACAGCCGTGTGCATCTCACCTAACACCCTTGCTCCACCTCCTCCATCTGCGTTAAAGAGCGGTTCCTCCACACCATCATTCTCTGGGTGGCTGTCCTTTCTCAGTCCTGAGAGGATGACTTTGGTGTCTCCTGATTCTCCAGTGGTGGTGTGAGCTCCTGGAGCGTGGGAACATGTCGCATGTCCCTTTCCGCAAGAGCAAAGAGCCACCTGTGGGGAGGGGCGCAGGCTGCGGAAGGAGATGAAAGCCCTAGGGAGAAGGTCGGAGACGTAGAGACAGGTGCTGCGGGTTAGTGTAGCTGAGTCAAACTGCTCTTTGCAGGCTCCCTGGAGAAGGGGCCAGGGCCAAACCAGCCAATGCCAAGAGTTTCTTCTTCAGGAATATGAATTAGTGACCTAAAGCTGTCATAAATTGCAACACATTATGTGGCTTAGCACAGCAGAAATTACTGTTTCACAGTTCTGAAGGCCAGAAGTCAGAACAGGAAGTGCTGACAGAGCCGGGTCCCTCATTCAGCCTCTGGAGGAGACATTCCTGTTTCTTCCAGCTTTTGGTAGGCCCTGGGACTCCTTGCTTTGTGGTAGCACAGTTCCTCGCTCTGACTCCGTGTACACACAGCCTTCTTCCTTCTCGTCTCTCGTGTGTATCCTTTTCTCTCGTAAGGGCCTTTTCCTTGGATTTAAGACTTAACCCTAATGCAGTGTAACCTCATCTTGGTGCTTAGCTTACCCAAGTTACATCTGCAAAGACTCTATTCCAGTTATCATTCTGAATAATGTCACATTCTGAGATTCTAGCTGATTTTGGGAACGCATCCACCAATGACAACCTGAGATGTGCCATTAGGAAGAGTTTGTCTCGTGTCCCCAGGGATGGCCTCATGTTCCAAAATGCTTGTGTCTCCTTCAGCGTTGGTGCAGGAGATTCAGGGAAAGGAGTGGGGTGGGGGAGACGTAGGAGGATGTTTATTGCCTGCTGACTCCCGGCCAGGTGCTTACTGTGTGTTTATGTCATTGGATCCTAAAAACAGGGGTTCTCAAATACACTAAACCAGACCTGCACGGTCAGCATTAGATGAGAATGTGCTAGGGATGCAGATTCTCAGGCCACGTGAGCCTTGCTACTGCAGAAAGTCTGCGGTTGGGGCCTAGTAATCCGTGTTTTCACCTTCTAGGTTGTTCTGGGGCTGCACCACCGTGATGAAGAGCCCTCAGGAGGTGAGATATCCCAGCTGCTCCAAACAGGAAGTACCACCACTGGGAAGCTGAAAAAAAAACCCATGTCTGCCCAGACACTAAGCCCTTAGAGCTTTGACCACATACATACTGCGTGGGAAAAAAAGAGTCCAGACTCTACTTTATCTGTAGCCTCTTGGAACATTGTCTCTCTTACACCTCCCAGTCAAGGGTTATACTCCAAGATCTGCTTTCTAAGCTTTGTGACCTAATTAGAGGTTTGAAAAACTGGTATCAGAAATGCCCAGGATCATTTTTATGGGCCTTTGTGAATAAGAAAACAACGCCAACAAGTCAATATTATGCGCGAATGGCAGTAAAATCCCACTAAATGGCTCCCTGGCTCTAATTTTGTAGAGTAAAATCGATAGGAGTCCTGTTAGGTCTGGGGATTTTAAAGACGAAGGACCCCGTGAGTCTAGCAAGCCCGCTGAAAGATGGAGGCTGCATTGCACTGTTGCTCTGGTAGGAGGTTAACAAAAGTACTTAAGCCTTTATCCTCCAGTGTGTCAGCCGGCAGGTTGTGCCCGACAGCTCATTAGCATGTGGTGACCCTGGCGGTCGGGCTTCCGCCCACCACATCCAGCCGCTCATGTCCACTAGATGGCAGCAGCTGCTAAAACAGTGCCCAACTTGTCCCTGCTGCTTATTAGTCTGGCATTTCCAAGTTAAAACAAAAAATATATATATGAAACGTGGAAGAGACCATGAAAGATCATCCTGCCCCTGCTACACCCAGGACTGTCCACACTGGAGTCAACGAGATCAAACTGCTTGTAATGGTCTCAGGGAAACAGCTCACTGAATCTCAGCCATTGACTCAGTTGATTAATTCATTTACTTAGTGTCTATCATCCCCACTTTTCATTCTGAAAAATTTTGTGCCCATAGAAAAGCTGCTTGCATAACATTTTAACATTTAATTTCTCTTGCCGGGTGTGGTGGCGCACGCCTGTAATCCCAGCACTCAGGAGGCTGAGGCAGGGGGATCGCTGTGAATTCGAGAGCAGTCTGGGCTACATAGTGAGTTCCAGGTCAGTCTCAACTACATAGTGAGACCCTGTCTCAAAAAGCCAACCACCCCCCAAAAAATTTAATTTCTCTCCCTCCCTCTCCCTAACCTCCTTCGCTCTCTCCTCTGTCTCTTGCTGGACCAGAGGTTTGTTGAAGATAAGTTGCAGACACCCTGACACTTCACCTCTTCATTCGACACGTGTTTCCTAAGAACGAGGAAGGGTCTCTACCCGAACACAGTGTCATTATCACATCCAAGAAGTTCAGCACTGACACTGTGGTATCCATCCTCTGATACTCAATCCGTGTTCGAATCACCATTATCCCAGCAGCGTTCTTCAGGACTTTCCATCCATCTGGAAACCATACCGTCTTTATTTGCATATCTCTCATCACTTCCTTTTTTAAGAGCTATTCTCTCTCTTTTTTATCTTTTAGGACTTCGGCATTTCTTTTTTTATTCATTAAATTTATTGGTACATTTTAGGTATAAAATACGATGACATTCATCACTGGAAATTTGTATCTCTATATAGTGTATCTTGGTTCTTATTTTTTCCCCCTTCCCCTGCTCTCCCTTCAACCCCTCCACCCCTCTCTACTTACAAAGACTTTGTTTCCATTTTTTGCAGGGCGGGGGTACTGGGGTTCGAACTCAGGTCCTTGAACTTTCAAGGCAGGCACCGGAACCATTGAGCTAAACACCCAGCTCTTGTTACCATTTTAAATTTTTTCATAGTAATTCCATTCCCTTCTTTCCTTTCCCCTATTCCTCCCACCTCCCCTTCCCCTTTGGACCTTTGCTCCCTATTTCACATTATCAGTTATACATTTTGATCCTTACGACTTCGGCGTTTCTTAAGAACAGTTCATTTGTTTTGTAGAAGCCTCGGCACTCTGGATTTGTATCACTGTTTCTGTGTGATTAGAGTCAGGTTAACTCTTCCTGCAAGAGTCCTGCCCAGTGGTGATCTGGTGCCTTCTCTGCGCATCACTTCGGGTGGCACACGGTATTCATGAAGTCCCGTTACTGGGGATGCTAACTTGCACCTCTGGCTAAGGTACCATAGGCACAGCTGGTCCTGTGACTCTGGCAGTCAGTGGAGAACGTTCCCAACTCCGTGGTCTGTCCTCTCCCTGCAGTGTCCAGGGGGATGTTCTGAAAGTATCAACAGGATCAGGCCATTCGTTTGCTTAAGATCCTCCTCTGCCTCCCATCAGGCCCGGAATGACCTCCAGACTCCTTACCGTGACCTTCACAGCCTGGCGTGATCCGGTCCTGCCTGCTTCTATCTGGTAGGAGGTTAACAAAAGTACTTAAGCCTTTATCCTCCAGTGTGTCAGCCGGCAGGTTGTGCCCGACAGCTCATTAGCATGTGGTGACCCTGGCGGTCGGGCTTCCGCCCACCACATCCAGCCGCTCATGTCCACTAGATGGCAGCAGCTGCTAAAACAGTGCCCAACTTGTCCCTGCTGCTTATTAGTCTGGCATTTCCAAGTTAAAACAAAAAATATATATATGAAACGTGGAAGAGACCATGAAAGATCATCCTGCCCCTGCTACACCCAGGACTGTCCACACTGGAGTCAACGAGATCAAACTGCTTGTAATGGTCTCAGGGAAACAGCTCACTGAATCTCAGCCATTGACTCAGTTGATTAATTCATTTACTTAGTGTCTATCATCCCCACTTTTCATTCTGAAAAATTTTGTGCCCATAGAAAAGCTGCTTGCATAACATTTTAACATTTAATTTCTCTTGCCGGGTGTGGTGGTGCACGCCTGTAATCCCAGCACTCAGGAGGCTGAGGCAGGGGGATCACTGTGACTTCGAGACCAGTCTGGGCTACATAGTGAGTTCCAGGTCAGTCTCAACTACATAGTGAGACCCTGTCTCAAAAAGCCAACCACCCCCCAAAAAATTTAATTTCTCTCCCTCCCTCTCCCTAACCTCCTTCGCTCTCTCCTCTCTCTCTTGCTGGACCAGAGGTTTGTTGAAGATAAGTTGCAGACACCCTGACACTTCACCTCTTCATTTGACACGTGTTTCCTAAGAACGAGGAAGGGTCTCTACCCGAACACAGTGTCATTATCACATCCAAGAAGTTCAGCACTGACACAGTGGTATCCATCCTCTGATACTCAATCCGTGTTCGAATCACCATTATCCCAGCAGCGTTCTTCAGGACTTTCCATCCATCTGGAAACCATACTGTCTTTATTTGCATATCTCTCTCATCACTTCCTTTTTAAAGAGCTATTCTCTCTCTTTTTTATCTTTTAGGACTTCGGCATTTCTTTTTTTATTCATTAAATTTATTGGTACATTTTAGGTATAAAATACGATGACATTCATCACTGGAAATTTGTATCTCTATATAGTCTATCTTGGTTCTTATTTTTTCCCCCTTCCCCTGCTCTCCCTTCAACCCCTCCACCCCTCTCTACTTACAAAGACTTTGTTTCCATTTTTTGCAGGGCGGGGGTACTGGGGTTCGAACTCAGGTCCTTGAACTTTCAAGGCAGGCACCGGAACCATTGAGCTAAACACCCAGCTCTTGTTACCATTTTAAATTTTTTCATAGTAATTCCATTCCCTTCTCTCCTTTCCCCTATTCCTCCCACTTCCCCTTCCCCTTTGGACCTTTGCTCCCTATTTCACATTATCAGTTATACATTTTGATCCTTACGACTTCGGCGTTTCTTAAGAACAGTTCATTTGTTTTGTAGAAGCCTCGGCACTCTGGATTTGTATCACTGTTTCTGTGTGATTAGAGTCAGGTTAACTCTTCCTGCAAGAGTCCTGCCCAGTGGTGATCTGGTGCCTTCTCTGCGCATCACTTCGGGTGGCACACGGTATCCATGAAGTCCCGTTACTGGGGATGCTAACTTGCACCTCTGGCTAAGGTACCATAGGCACAGCTGGTCCTGTGACTCTGGCAGTCAGTGGAGAAGTTTCCCAACTCCGTGGTCTGTCCTCTCCCTGCAGTGTCCAGGGGGATGTTCTGAAAGTATCAACAGGATCAGGCCATTCGTTTGCTTAAGATCCTCCTCTGCCTCCCATCAGGCCCGGAATGACCTCCAGACTCCTTACCGTGACCTTCACAGCGTGGCGTGATCCGGTCCTGCCTGCTTCTGACCCTGCTGTCTTTTTTGGGTTTGTGGAGACACCGCACTGTGCACGATGAGTTCTGCCCACCCTCGGTGCTAGGCATGGCTGGCTTCTTCTTATAAAGATTCCAAGTCAGAGTCACCACTCCATCCCTATCTTATTTTCTTGCTCTCTCTTTCTATGAAGTGCTGGTCACCAGCTGAAATGATCTATTTATTCATTCACCACTTTATTTCTTGTCCCATCCTTCAGGCTCACAAGGCCCATGAAGACCAGTACCTGGGTTGTTTGCTTGTGGGTTATACTGTGGCATAACCATGCAGCACACACCCCAGCACACAGTGGGTGCTCAGGAAAAGTTTGTAGACAGAAACACGGATGAGTGAAGTTGGCTCAGTGCCAGTTAGGCATCAAAATTCTGGAGTAGTGTCCTGGGAGACAGAAGACTAAAGCCACCGGTCCACCTACGTGATCTCAGACCAGGCACTTAACCTGCCGAGTCTGACTTCTTTCATTTGTGAGATAACCTTTAGATCTCTTGACTCTAGTATTATCTGAAACCAAGTTCTACTCTTTTTTTTTTTTTTGTTACCAGGGATCGAACTTGGGCCCTTGTACTTGTGAGGCAGGTGGCGGAACCTCTGAGCCAAATCCCCGGCCCTCCAAGTTGTACTCTTGGTGGGCACGTGACACACCCCTAAGTCTGTGCACCTCACTCGTGTCTTCTGCCCAGTGGGACGAATGACACCTACCTCATGCAACAGCTGTGAAGATCAATTTGATGGTGAACTTCACAGAACTCAGCCACCTGCAAGCTGCCCTCTCCAGATTTTTATCCAGGGTAGTTCTCCTAAAACAAAGAATTCTCAGATTGTCTGTGTCTTAGAACTTTCTTCTGAGGTAGCATTTTAGTGCAGATTGCTACCCTGGAAAACTTGGTGGTTTGAGCTGAAGGGTCATTATAAGACCAGATGGCGGAGAAACCGTCTCAATTACTGTGTCCAGAAGCTCTGTGGTTTAGTTAGAAGCCCAGTGCCCTGGCGGTGCCCTGCAGAAGTGAAGATCAATAATGCCATTTGCAATTGATGCTTCTGGTGCTCCTCACATCTGCAGCCCCTGCCTGTCCCTGGGCCAGCTGCCCACCTGCTGCTTTGGAGACAAGGAGCAAAAGTAAGGCCGGGTCGTCACTCAGTCAACACCATG